GCCTACCAATTCACACCATCACGGCTAATGGATCATCCAAGACCTCGCAAAGATGAAACAGTAGGTCTTTGAAGCATACTTCGAGACTTTTGCTAACGCCGATCCGAAATGTCACATATTAGTGAGTTTGCTCTTCACAAAATCCTGTCCTTCGTGTGACAATCCCGTTGAGTTACACTGTCTTGCACAGCGAGGCGCACGTCAGATGTTGTAGCATTTTGGGTTTGTTCACCGAGCGTTGGATTGAAAACTTGACTCATCAAGGCTCAGCAGCCATTTTCGCGATTTGAGAACTTCATGTGGGATTGTTTGCGAATACCTTCTGGGTGGTCTCTTTATACTTGATGGAAACATGGCGAAAGTGATATATCGATACTTACGTCAGAAGTCTCGGCTCAGTTGAGGGATAACTACCTACTGTTTCACCACACCGGGCTTACTATCGTCGCCTAAATGCCAGGTGCTCTTCACTTGCTCAGCTCAAACAGTCCCGCCTGTCACTTACAACTTTAGCGTATCGCGCTTCAGCCGCTGGCTGCTGAATGCTCTCGTACAACAACAGGAACAGACCAAGTCGCACTTGCTACCCGTATCGCGGACTTGTGTCACGGACTTGGTTCAACATGACGTACCGGCTCGCGCTTGAGCGCTGGAGATCAGACTTCCTCCCAGGTCAGTATCAGATGAGGGGCTGCAAATAAAATCACGACTGTCGCTGCCAGGAGCGATTTGAAGGAAGCATGTAAGACCTGGGGACTTGGCAGCTGCCTACCGAACGATTGGATTGGGGGTTCAAAAGGCGCAGCAACGACACACTTGATGACGGTTCGCAATCACGACGGCCACGTATAATCTTACATTCCAAGCACTTGCTTGCTAAAAACGCCGTCCATGATTCTACATTGTTATACCGTCTCTCCAGCGAATTTCACCATCTGAAACTGTCATCGAACCTCAGGCACTCGACCTGAAAAGTCCCCGACTGAGCCAACAAGATTGAAACGAACAGACCGAACGAAACATACTGTCACTGAAAATGAGATCCTTCACTCGCCTTATTGCCGTCCCTCTGGCGTTGTGAGTTTCCATCAATTATACCCTAACAAAGGGAACACGCGCTCTAACCGTTCCCGATACCCTCGCAGAGCCATGCAGGTCCTTTCTCAATCCCTCCCAACGTCAACAGTTACCGCAACCGCAAGTGGCAGCAGCAGCATCATCACCACCCCACTGACCAACCCTCTCCTGCCAACAAGCGACAGGCCCACGCCCGTCTCGGAGTGCCCCATCATCATCTCAACCGCCAGTGTCTGCTCGACCTGCATGACGATCGACTGCGTGACTGTGAGCACCGTCACGGCAGGTTGTACGTGCGCGAACCCGCCCATGACGGTTTACCAGTCGTGGGGATGCGAAAAGGGATGTGATGCGTTGCCGTCCGGATGTAAGACGTTGTATGAGGTTGTTTCGGAGGCGGGGAAGTGCTCGGGGGTTGATTTCGGTGAGTTTACTCTATATCATTCTCGGAATATGATACTCGAGGTAGGAATTGATGGGTTGATGACAAATGCTAATCATGACGCTCGGTGGGATGTTTACAGGAAACGGTACAGCGGCGGCGGCGGCGAGCAGCACGGTTATGTCATTTTCGAGTGGTGGTCCTCTTGGACCGGTCAAACCTACGATTTCAGGCCCGATTAGCATTAATGCTGCTGGACGGCAGGCAATGCCCTTTAGGTTTTGGTGAGGGGGGGAGCAAGCAGAAAAGGGCCGATCCGATCGGATGGTATCAGTTTAGGGCGTGGTTCAAGAGGAGGTCAAATGTTCAAGATATAATATAATTACAGGGGAAAGTGAGGTTTGGCCGATCAAGTCGGAGGAAGAAGAGGGAGAATGCTGTTAGGTTGAGGGAGCATGTCCGGACCCAGCCGAGAACATATTCTCTTAAGGTGTTAAGACACAGTCTTTCAGTGATAGAGGAAACACCGTTTGTCTGGGTCTGTGTTGAATTCCGCTATACTAGTTAAATTAGTGTTTGAATGGCCTCAGCCCTTCCAGAGGGATGTAAGGCTGCATCAAGGGTTATAGCCCATGGAGAACAAGGCTTTTTGGGTGGTTTGTACAATGTTACAAGGTTCTTATTTGAAGGCAGGTGTACACGCTTCAGTCAGAGACTTGACTTTGGAGCTGAACTTACGAAGAATACTTGGTTTTTACGCCTGATTATCTCAATACCACCAATTCGTGGAAACCCTACGAGAACGATGATGATGTAAAATGATAGTGCTAGAGGATCCTTCAGACTGGGTCTAAATGGGTGCTCCTACAGCGGTGGCTTCGAGTTGTGCCTGCGTCAGCCTTCAAACGCAGGTTTTATACCCTTTGGAAGTCTCGGAATGCCGAGTAAAGAAACCGCCAGGGTGAAAGGGAGGCTCTTGTAGCAGTTAACTCCAAAAGGAGTTGGTCCAAATTGTTGGGTCCAGGCGTTTAGCGGCCGTCCAGATACTCGTATCTTCTGGGACATACCCCTTGTCATTCGCATGCTGCTCGGGAGCGTGATCGTACGCTGACGTCGGCTTGGTTTTTGGAGAGATATCCGTTGCCTTTTGTCTATTTGTCGTTGGCTTGAAGCTAGATATGGTACGTACGACGCCTTTCTGTTCGGGGCACTCTGAGATAGCAAGTCAGCATCCATCGCTAGTCAATAAATCATAGGCACACCCCTTGAAGACGGCGAAGATCTGGGCCGCCGTGTCTTGCAAATTGGGCAAGATTAGTGATACACACTGCCGGTGCTGTGGGCCCCGGGGCAGACCGAGTGCTGTTCCGCCGGCCGAGCTCTCGAAGCGCGCGAGGCGTGAGCGAAACCTTGGATGGGTTGTCCCAGAATTCTGGTAGGAGGTTCGACGGCCCGTAAAGTCCGCCTCTTGACTTGGTCTCCTTGTCGGGACGTTGCTCTGAACGAGAGGTCGTCTTCGCAGGCTTTCTTTCGATCGTGCGCGCTCGCTATGTGCAGCCACTTGGTGAAGATGTAAATCGACAGGTCCGAATTCAGATTCGCGCTCGTGGGCTAGGACTGAGCTGGCGCTGTAGGACTTTGCGTATTTTGGTCTAGTGGGCGCGGCATAGGAATAATTGGACTACAATGCGCCGTTGCCTGCGCGCGTGGTGTCGCACTTCAAGTTGGGAAAGCCATCAACCAACTGTGAGCCAATGCACGGCAGGGATACGGCGCAAGGTGCGGGATCGTCGTCTCGAAAATGTGTAGAGGGCGCTCGGTTTTGCAATTTTCTCAAGACCTGGACACAGGTCCTTTCCGTTATCAAAGGAACCCGGTGAAGGATAAGTGCGGGGGAATCTACGTTGCGGGCTACGTACCTACCTACTATAGTGTTAAGTATAAATACTAGCGAGCGAGAGGTGGGGCTGCTTCCGTGACGGAGATGTGGGACCGGCCCTGGCAGCGGGGACCGATCTCGGGGGTGGGGATCCCGCAAGTGCAGTGGTTTGCGTCTGTTTAACTACTGCGACCGAAGATTTTTGCTCAAGTCTATCCTTCTCATTGCCGATGAGGCCAGTTCCCGCATTGAATACATCTATTTCAAAGGCTTCTTCGCTCGCTGTATCAAGCCGGACAATGAGACGAGCCCCCAAGGCCAGGAAAGTCGGGGAAAGGCAAACGGCCGGTACCTTTGGCCGAGGGGGGATGTAGCTGAGGTAATTCAGTGAACTCTGCCATTGCATGCGGCGCATAACCTTCCATGTGTAACCATCGAAACATTTTTGCTGCAATGTCAATGTAGCATTGTCGCATACGTCATAGAGGTCTAAATTCCAAATCCTCGTCCATGACAAATAGCGGGCGGGCCATTAACTGACAGGGTAAGTGCACTAGCTACACTAGTGTAATACCGCTCGCTGTATTCAAGAAAGGCTGTTACAGGGCTGTAATAGGAATTACAAGAATTCAACAACAGACTGGCTAAAACCCATAGGGACGAAGGGCCTATCATTCCAGTTCGTAGGAGTGATAAAGACGCTTGGATCCATGCGTAGTAAGAGTACAAGTGCCAAAGGTACCTATAGTGTCGAAGGTCAAAACAATTTTGTGCGGTACCTGATCATCCGAGCACATGTCAAGTCCATGACCGGCACATCCACGTGCAACGGCTGTCTTAAACCAATAAGAATCAAGATTTCCCGCGCATTGCACGCTTGCTGGTTGCTGAATGGGTCGCTTGATCCGAAAACCAAGGCTCTGTCAAAGCGTGAAAAGTCAAGGTCGTGATGTTTAGATTCTTCCCCGGAATGCCTTGCTTCAATCCCTTTACCTCAACCTCACACGTGGAGTGTTGTCCTCTCTTTCTTTTCTTTTTTGCTTCGTCTACCCACCAGAACGTGTCGAGAACTTAAGGGATGACAAGGTGATCGCAAGCTGTCCCAGTTCCCAACTCGTTGGAGCTCTTCATAACATGGATCTATTTAGTCGCACGGACTTCAAGTTGTTCGTGTGTTACCCACCTCCATCAACCATATTACTCTGTGAAATATGTTAGAACTTCTTCGGTACGCCCTCAACCTCAACAGCGATTTCTGTTGTTTTCTCTGGGATGTATTCCAAATACAACCATACACTAACCTTCACCATAGGCGCCCTAAAAGCGCCACAAATGCGCTGGCAACAACGCTCCTTTTACTCGCTCTTAGTCCAACATGCATCCACTCCTTCGGCACCATCAATGAGCCCATTGTGCTCGGGCAGCACAATGAGCACGAAATGATTACTCGCCTGGCCTTTCAGTGCCCCGGCGCGAGCACCGGCACCATCATCAACGTAAAATCCGACGGCATCTGCTTCGAGCCCCGCTCGCTCGACCAGTTAGCTGGCACACACTTCGACGTGCAAGGCTTCCCCATCCCGGGAGGCGGCACCAACGGCGCCGTCGGCGCTCCCGACACGCTCGACCCTGTTCCCGAAGGTCCCGAAGCCCATTGCGACGACGCCGACTTCATCGACATACCGGGCTACCCCCGCACCCGAGAACAGGCGACCCAGGCGCTGCAGACGTGCGTGAACCACCTGCGCGGCCGCTTCAAGCAGGCCTGGAAGAGCGCCGCTGACCTGATCGAGCTGGACGAGGAGGTGACTAACGCCGAAGGGAGCGCGCACCTCCAGAAGAAGGGCCAGCTGCGCATCCGTAGGGACATGGTCGACTTGTCGCCCTTTGCCGGCGGTGATTGCCGCTTCGCCTTCCCCGCCCTGCAGGTGAACACGCTTGCGCGCGCCAAGTGTGCCACTATCGAGGCTTTCGGTCGAGCTGTTCACGGAATCCATGATTTCTATGCGCACAGCAACTGGGTTGATGAACACGACAGGTCGCAGCCTATAGGCGTGGCTAACCCGCCGGGTTTGGGGAGAAACGATACCGCACCGTTTTTGGACCTGCGCGCCCACGGTCAGATTCCCAGAGAAATGTTGCCAAGAAATCTGAGCACGGGATGCTTCGCGGTGCCAGATGCGACGCCTGGGAGGAGCAATTGCGAGGGGAGGGTGTCGCATAATACGCTGAACAAGGACCATGGGGTGGTGTACTTGGATGGAACGTTTGGGGAGATCGGACCTGGTACCCCCCGGACGGAGAATGGGCTCGAGGAGAACTTCAAGAGAGCGGTTGCGGCCGCGGTGGAGGATTCGCGCAATGCTTGGAAGGCATTGAGGACCGAGGTGAGGAATAGGTACGGTGCGGAGAAGGGCGATTTGATGATTTGTGCCTTGGTCAGGGACGATCCGGTGAGGGACTGCATACCGCGAAACGTGGCCGTTGTGATCGACCTGTCTACCCAGGCCAAGCAAAACGGGTTGTTGCAACTGGAGAGACAGGTGGCAATGAGCTTGGCCGCCAAGATGGAGACGAGCAGTGGCCTGCACAACATGATAACGGTCGTGGAGTTTGCAGAGAGTGCGCGGGTGGTCTATCCGATGGAGAGTCCGGCGTATTTGAACCTGGAGGGAACTCAATCGAACGGTACATTGATACCTTTCAACGAAAACATCCACTACCCCCCGAACGCGACGACCCGCCTACCCGCCCACATGACAGCCCCAATCCATGAAGGAAAGGCAGATATCGGTGTCGGGCTTTCCATGGCTATTGATGAGATCCTAAGGGCAAAGCCGGATGGAGAGCACAACGAACGAGGCGCCGTCCTCCTGCTCACTGCTGGCGCTGAGGATGAAGACGATGTCCATGAAATACTGCAGCAGATTGAGAGGGCATCAGGAGAGGGTATCCGCGTGCACTATGGGTGCATCAACCCGCCCCTTCTGCCACTCCAATCTTTTGCTCACACCAATGCATCAACCGAGTGTCATCCCGGTAAAGGGGCCATCTCCTCCGTGCTCAAAACAGGAGGGACCTTCTCCTTCCTTAGCAGCACGCGCCACGGCAAGCAGACTGCCAAAGACTTCATCGATTTTGTCACGAATCGAGGTCTCACCGTCACCGACGGCTCGGGTGCCGGCGACACAGATGAGGGCGAACCGCTTCCCATACCCGTTGCCCCGGGCATGGCCATCGCCGATATTCTCAGCGCCGAGTTTCCCAAGAAAATCTTCTCTTACTCAGCGAAGGCCGGCGAACGGCTCGACTTCACCATTCTAGACCGCAGTCAGGCGAGCGCGGAAGCGCCGGGAGGCTGTCTCAACATGACGCTGCTCGATCTCAAATCGTTGACCGATCCCGAGGACGAAGATGACACCGACACCAATACCGACACCGACTACGGGGAGGATGAACCCAACGACTGGTCGCCCGAAGTAGAACTTCCCACCCTCAAATACTGCACCAGCGACCCACCCCGAGTCCACCATCTCGCTTACTATGCAAAAGAAGACATGGACATCGCCCTGCTGGTCCAGCACGACGAAACGGCCGAAAAGAACCAGCTTCCTCGCAACCCGAACCGCACCTCCCAAGCCCAGGACGAGGAACAAAACTTTTCACAACATGAGCCTCAGTCCGCAGTAGGACTAGGAGAAGTCATCTTCACTCTCGAACTCTCGACGGAAATGCTCGGTATTGACCATATCGCTCTGCCGTACTGTCCGAGCTTGGGTGGATTGTGTGAGCATGATGATGAGGGCCGATTAATTCCCCTTCGGGGAGCTACGACGTTTTCTGGGCCGTTGTCGGGGATAGTGGCTAACGAGACGGAGTACGAGAACGACACGGACGGGGATGGTGAGAGGAAAAGGGAGGCTACAAAGGTGACAAGAAGACGAGACGATGCTGTCACTAGCCGCCATAGTAGTAGTGGTAGTAGCGGTGGTGACCCTAGTGCCACCGTTTTTAGCACGGCGGTCTTCGATGCGAGGCATGGAGAGGAGGTGGACTTTTGTTTGGTTGGAGAGCGATGTAAGGCTCGCCCGTGATTGTGCGTATCCCACGTTTATATGCTTTGGAGTATGGTGTCATGACAGAGGTATAAGCGGATGGAGGATGTTTGTTTTTGTTTGCATTTACAGGGGTTGGGGTTGTGGGATTTTTTTTTTCGAAACTTGATGTTGCATCTTGTCCCTGCCGAATACTTGGGGTTTCCGGCGCAGCGGTAATAACGCGCCGATTGTTTCATGGAGGTTACCCAGAGTAGTCATGTAAGCATACTTATACCCAGTATCTTAGCTGTTTTTTAATCCAGTCATATCCATTTCATCATTTGTGAAGCTCTTGTCCAATGGTTCGGTTGCCGTAAGGGGGAGGGTGCTTTCTTGATGTAGATGGGTACATAGAGTCTAGATTTGACTCGTTTTGACATCATTAAGCGCCAGTGGTTTAGTGGTAAAATCCATCGTTGCCATCGATGGGCCCCGCGTTCGATTCGCGGCTGGCGCATAATACTGTTCTTTTTGCACTTTTTTATTTCCATTGTCTCTTTGAACGATGACCATTTCTCAGGGACAGTATCTTTTTGATCTTGGCTCCAAATTCTCTTCTGTACGATCTGCCAGTGGTATTCAATGTGTGTAGTATGTAAGGGTTCTGTAGTGATGAACCCAAGTCGAACTGTTTTTGTTCTGACACTTTCTTTTTCGATATTATAAAAGTGTCGGGGAGTCAAAGAGTTTGTTTTGTCAACCTGTCAAGAGAAGGAAATAAAGTCGAAATGACATCGTAATTGTCTTTTTTTTCTTTTTTCTCTCAGCTGACAACGCTCATCACTCGAGACAAGAATAGCGCTTGAACTAGGTTGGACCTTGCGGTTCTACGACAGTTGAATGACAAAGCAATGTCTTCGCTTTACAGGTAATGAATCCAACCATGGATAACGAGACAAATATTGAACATCATGTTGCAACTCGCCATCTTCTTTCACGTCCCTGAGCAGGAAAAAAGAAAGGAGAAAAAGAAAAAGGATAGCGAGGATATAATCAATAGCACACGCACAATTGACAAGAAGAGAAAGCATCTTGAAAACAACATTCTCACAAAAAAAAAAAAAAAAAAAAAAATTAAGAAGAACATGTCGATGCAAGAAAAAAAATATTGAGACTCGGATACCGGGAGTCGAACCCGGGGCTGTTGAGAGAGCAGTCACTCCTGAGAAGTGAGAGTCAACGATGTTACCGCTACACCATACCCGATTGAACTGATATGGTCCGATTTGTTGTTGGAAGTGGGCTTGAAAGCAAGGCTTATGTAACCGATGTTTAAGAAGAATACCCGAAATATGTTGTGGGGCGGTATCTGGTGGTGTGGATCTTGATGGGTTCAAGGGTCGTCATAAAGATTTTCAGGGTCATTGCCTTGCTGTTTTGTTAGTAATCAGGTTGTGGTGGATGCATGGGTACTATGATGAATATGGATGGAAGTAGACGGAAGGTGATACCAGATACCACTCGTTACGTATTCTTTCGCGAAGCTAGACGGGACGCAACAGGGTCACTGCAGTATGCCGAGGAGATGACTGATTTTTGTATATGGAGAAGGAACATCAATGCTATGCTTTCTTGGTCTGTTGTCATCTATCTGACAAAATGAACTCCTCCAATGTGAATGATCTATGGTGGTATCGTGGCTTCAACAAATGCAAATTTCCCTCTTTGGACAACCCGCAAAGAAATCGAGGATACCACCTACGTTCGCCGGCTCAGCGATACGGAAGAATCCCACACGTCTATGCAACGCCTTCCGAGGATCTTCCTCACTTGTCGGATCCTTTGGCACCAGAATCAACCCGGACACATGTTTGTCATAGCCAGAATTGTTCCACGTGCGTGTCCGCAGCACAACGATGAAAAAGATGGTAGTTCCATCTGCGACGGGCTCATCAAGCACAACCTGAAGACGCGCTTTGGGAAGATACTCCACCCAGAAACCTGGGGGCTCTCGAACTCCCAACCCAACCGCGGTCTGGCGGTTGACAAGGGTCTTCAGCTTGATAACCACTTCCGACCCCATACCTGGTGACAAAGTCGAGGCTGCAGGCGGAACTGACACGTCAAGGAGTAGACCCATGTACTCAAAATCGTCGTGTGAGCCCTCCAGCCACGACTTCTCGTCGAAAAGCACATCGCCCTCATTTGCAGCCCAAGACCACGAAGGGGCCTTCGTTCCCGTGGGTGACTTGCGCCAGAGAAGGTCAACGGAACGGAAGTTCCTGTACCAGAGAAGATCAAGAGGCAAAAATTCCTTGAAAGCGCCGGCTTGGGGAATGTATGTGAGCCCCGTATAGTTTTCGACGGCGTCCGCAATTCCAATAATCGCCGCCAGTCGGTCAGTGGTGTATGTCAAATTGGTGTCGGTATAGTATAGCAAAAACCGGTTCCAGATGGCACGCAGCTGTCGACTGCGTTTCAGGAAGCTCTTTGCCGCCATGGCTGCCCTTCGCTCATCCTTGATGCCGAATTGAGTTCCCTTGAACTTTTCCTTCCAACTCTGTTCGAAGATTTGGCCGAATTCCCGGAACCCTCTGACTTTACTGAATCCCAAAAATCTGGGATTGAAATGGCGTATATGCGGGTCAAGCGCCACGGGCCAGGATTCTGACATTGTTTGTTTTGTACAATGGAAGTACACCTCGTGATCGCCGAAAAAGATTGTTCGGGGCGACAACAGAGTCTCTTGGACTACCCAACCTCTTTTGAGAAGAGGAAAGGATCCCACTATCTCTTCAGGGCCTCGACTGAACTTCCGGTTTGATCCTTCGATGAAAGCATAGAGGCGGCTTTGTTTACCATCTGCCTCGTGCAGTCGGCAAGGAAAGGCTATCAAAGGATTTCTTTCCCGGAAACAACCCTCGTCCCCGGCTTGTCCAACCATCGCAATGTTGCATGTCGAGTGCCCGTATACGTTGGTCATGGTGGGTACTTCTCTCTCCCAGTCCTCCCGAGAGTCTTGAAGGATGCACAACGAGTCAATCCACAGATAGCGATAACCAAGTCGCCGTGTTATCGTCATCGCATCGCGGAAATTCGGGGAGAGCTTCTCTATCGGGATGCCTTGCAGCCATTGGCTCTCATTTTCGGTCGTGAGCTTCTCGGTCACTCCAGTTGCGTGCCATGAGTGGCTGACTGTCAGGTATTGTAGGTCGGGTGAAGATGCGGAAGCCGAGGGGTAGAAAAGGCGAGGTTCCAGCTGCCCAGGACCTTCCCCGATGTCTATCAGCCGGGTCGGAAGCTCATCAGATCTCGAAATCTCGGGTCCATGTTCATTGCATTCATCATGGTTTGTGATGCATTCCCGCAGCCAGTATCGTGCAAATTCAAAGGTCTCGGGGGCGTCTGTTGATGGCCCGCGAGACAAGTGATATCCCCTTGCCTCCTTGGGAAGAAGAAAATGTGTGTCTGTCATGTCGGTTAAAAACTTGTCAAGATGATATGGATGAGTGAAGCATTTGCCTTACCGTTGAGCAAAAGAATGGAAAGGTTGACAGTCAATTGGCGAGTGCAACCGTAGCGAAACAAGTGGTCCGCCTCCAAGGGCCCTCCAGTGTATATGAGAGCTGTCCCATCTTCCTCCTTCCACCCGGCTTGAACTCGATAGTATTTCCATTTCTCAACTGTGAGAATTCCGAAGCGCATAGACAAGCTATCATTATCAATGATCTCGTCCTGCAACGGCTCGATGCCTACTTTCACCAGAACAGGCCCATGCTCGCTTATTTGAGCCGCCGCCGACTTTGCCATAGATCCATGTACTATGGTACACATATGACAGCCCGCCTGGCTCGACTTGGCTAGCTCGTCCACGCCTTGGCTGTGGTAAAAGATCTCGCATCGGCGCCAGTCTTGTCTGCGCTGATCGCCTTCATCCAGGCGGCGGAAGCATTCTTGGAGAACTGCAGATTTTCGCACGACTGTTGAGCACCGATCGCAGAGCTGGTGAGGTGTCACATGGACGGCACTGTTTGCTTTTGCAAGTGGGCCATCCTGGCACGGGCAGTTAGGCGACATTGCCGAATCCATGTCGACCACATGCATAACGTCTGGTGAGAGTCTTGTGTGTGTGTGGCGAAGAGTCGGAACAAAGAATGTATACTAAGAAGAAAACGGCGATTCAAAGGGGTTGTCGGATGTAAATAGTTGGATGGATGACGAAGGCGGTTGTTGTTTTCCGCCCGCGAGCCTCGCTGTCACTGAATACCGGGAAGAAGGGGGCCACTGTTTGGGCTGCGCGAACAGCGTCATACCCAGGCTTGCCAGGGCCCAGATGCATCTCTTGACAGGGATGCGACGTTGGCCGTAGCTCACAATAACAATAACAACGGAAAATGGGGAAAAGCAACAGACAAAAATAATTACGATGAACACAAAACTGGGAAAAAAGGAATTATAAAACCAAATTGCGAGAGAGCAAAAAAGCAAAAGGGCCCCAACTCGGTTCAAGCCTTACTAGCCCAACACCACGTCAGCTGATGAAAGGAGAGGAGAAGAGAGATCCAAGAAGGGAATGCCAGCGCGTCTGCATTGCTAAGAATACTACCTGTCAACCACAGCATGTCGTGTAGTTGATCTAAAGGGGCGGCAGTGACCCTCTCCAAGATTCGCGCAAACCCAATAACATTAGAATCCTCTCATGAACTCCTCCAACGAGATCGGTTTCCGAACAGCATTATTGATCCCTTCGTGATAGGTGACCCACACCCTGATGTCCTTCTCATCACCAGCCACGTCGCTTCTCCCCTTCCTCTTGCTTTCCTTACCATCGCCCCCGTCAGCGGCAGCGGCAGCGGTAGCATTCCCGTTCTTCTCACCCAACACAATCACCCGGCCAAAGAAGTCTCTTTTAACTTCCTTTTGATCGGCCACCATTGCCGTATTTTCCTTGTTAGCGTTAAAGTCCATGGCGTTGAAAGCAGCAGCCGCGTGAGGCTTGAAGGTAGAGCTAGCAGTCTGCCCGTTGTTCATGCGCGCTTGCCTGGCGGCGTTCTCGCGTATTGCGATGGTCTTTTGCAGCTCTTGGTCTAGAACTTGGCGGACTGCATATCGCGTTGGCGCTTGGGAGGCTAAGACGAGGGCGCCCGCTGTCTCAAAGGTTGCGAGCGTGTCGAGGTCTCTGTTTGGTTGAACACCAAGTCAGTATCAGTTAGAAAGAAACAAAAAAAGCGATTGTGTACTCACGGTTCCATGCGATAAACCCATTGTGTCCGGTACTGTTGCCCAACTGCTGGATCCGGCTCAATCTTGCCCTTTTGCAAAGCGATGCCAACCTCAGCTAGTATTTGAGCCGCTCTCCTGACCATAGCCTTCTCGCCTTCCCTCCTCACACTCGCTACCGCCCCGCTCTTGTCGCTGCCACCGACTACGACGGGCTTCACATCGGGAGATACCAGACGAACCAGATATGGCAGGAAATACGTGGAGATATCCTCGGGGCTACGGAACAGACGGTAAAGACTAGGAGGTAGTTGCCCTTGTAGTCCCTGCAACGCTGCTCTGTTCACCTTCTCGGCTTCGTGTGCCTCAAAGTTTGCTCTTGGACCGCTAAAGGGCAACGGAGGTGCTTCGGCTTCTTCCATCATGTCACCCCATTTCCTTTCGGTGTTCTGAGGCTGATGTCGTTTAGGGGAGGCGAACAAGTGATGACATGCTAACGGTGGCTGGGAGATGTATTGGCCTAGCTCCCATTCCTGGCTGGAGTACAGCCTCGTTGAACATGTATCGTGGAAGTGCATCCACTCATACGCCGAGTCAGGCTTGGTGAGGAAGGAGTCGTCATTGAACTCGTGGTTGGGATACTCGCTGAAGATCTCGGTCATGATACGGTCGACCTCGCCGCTCGTGTCAATCATCTCCCTTAACTGCGCCATCGCGTACTTCTTTCGCTGCTCTGAAAAACCGAGCTGTGTCTGTGGTTGTTCGTGCTTTGCATACTTTGGTTGCTCAGCTTGTGATAGAAGTGGCGTGGGGAAGCCACCACCTTCCTGGAAAATACGGTTCACAATCTCTTTGACGCCACCGCGACCTAGACCGCGGGCACCTCCACCACCGTGAGCGAGATCATGGACGATATTCTGGTCAATCCACTGCCTTGTAAGAACCGGCGTGCTGGTAATGGTTGCTCGTAACCTGCCGGCAACCCACTCTCCTACGACCATAATGCCGCGGAGATCACCCTCGGCATTGCCCTCGGCTCCTCGCTTGGCATCGATACCACTAGTCATCCCCCATGCGGCCTCACAGAGCTTGCGCGCAGCATCCTTTTCGCATGGGATACCCTCCTTCTCAAAGACCGTCTTGAGACGAGTGACCACTGCCTCTACGGAAGGCTTGCCTACATGAATGATTTCAGCGAGGCCTGATTGGCGTAGCGGCCGAAGCGATGGGTGATAAACATCGTTACAGATCAGGATAAGAGGTCTCATCTGTCTGAAGTCATCCCCCTTCTTCTTTTTCCGGCCAGCCGCAGAAGTGGCCCCGGCCCCAGAACTGTTTTTTTGGTCAAGGAGCACCAGGTCGATCAAGGCTTTGACGAAACCGCCCTCGCCAGATCCTCCCGAGCCACTAACGACACCATCGACTTCATCAACTACCACGCATACCGGTCGAGCGATCTTCTGCTGTTTCCCCGTCTCGGGCTTCTTGTTTTCTACCGTCTTGACTGACTCGGTTCCGAGACTTGTCCGGATCCGCCCTTTGACCACATCCTTGCTTCGCTCGTCACTGGCATTGATCTCCATAACCTCATAGCCGGCTTGTCGCGCGCATACATGTGCTAGTGTCGTTTTCCCCAAACCCGGCGGGCCCGTCAACATGAGGATTTTCCGGTGTGGTTTTTCCTCCTCTGGCTGCTGCTGTTGCCCTTGTGCGCCACGTCGCCGTGTAGGCTTACTTTTCACCGAATGTGGAAATACTATTGGATCCCATCGCTTTAGCCAGCGAAGTACCTGCCTGTTGGTCAAGTCATCGCCGACGAGGTCCATGAATGTTCGGGCCCGGTATTTTTCTGTCCATAATAGGCTCTTTTTGTGCTTCTTGGTGTTTGTTGTGTGTTCTTCGACCGATCGTACAGGCCTGTCTGGGTTTATTGGAGGGGCGATGGGGGCCGTGGCGGATGCTTTGTGCGCCTCGGCAATCTCCTTTGTCGCGTTGTCGATAAGTTCGTGGATGTCAATTCCGTAATAGCTCTTCTTGGCTCGGCCTTCTTTCGTTCGCGATCTTGCTGCGACCAAGGTCTCGTAGGAGACTGGTGTTGTCGGTTTGCGCTCCCGGAGAGGGATAGATTTGCCGGAACATGTCGAGATGCGGTAGGACGGTGTGTTGAGGAAGTCGCTCAGCAGAGTCGTAGGGGGTGCCGAGGCTGTTGTTCTTGTACCGAATAGGCGCTCGTAACGTTCGGTTTCTTCCTCGGGGTCTTCATCGATCGCTAGCTGGCTGAGAAGCGGGGGCTCGGTTGTCTGGGTATCTGTCTGGATATCGTGCTGTAGCATTCGTCGCTTACGAGATCGTTCCAGAGAGGCATTGCCATCGTCGTCAGATTCGGAGTCATCGTCGGCAAGGAAGCCACCCAGAGCACGGGGTTTTGCGGACTTGGCACCATCGGAGTCGCGAGGTCGTTTTGCGGTTGGGGGCGGAGGGCTGGAGGGGAATGCGATGGGTGACGAGGGCGGTAGCATCGTTAATTCGATCAATGTTTGATTTTGATAGCAGAAAATGCATATATCAAGGGATAGTTCGCCGATATCAAACTCTCGTAAACAGCAAAGAAGAAGGTGAAGCTCGCATTGCCCTATCGTTCGGTAGGTGATTATAGGGAAGCCCAGCTATTAGACGCGTCTTTGCTAGTGAATTTGCGAGCAACCGCGTCTCAATTAAAGAACGCTGTTCATGGGTCTTGGCATTCATGGGTCTGTGCATATCTGTTCTACCAGGAGCCCCTTATCAGCCAGAACAGGTTGGAGAGCTCTGGAGTAAGGGAATATGATTTTCTTAAGCTTGAAAAATGACGGTACAATAGGAGATTTGGTACCAGACAGTCTGAGGGAATTAATCAGTTTAACAGGTAGAAACGTAGGTATCAAAGTGAGAGTGTATAGATAAGAAGTTAGCAAGGTACTTGTACCAGTACCTCTAAAGCGGTACCACTTCACCTTCCGTTTAATGGTTCTTATCGGCGATAAGGAGACAGCAGCATGTATCGAAGCGCGATGATGTAGTGCCTCTAGCCTTTTCACCCTTTCTTCAACTGCGCTACGCATTTGAGTGGGCTCATTCATTCGCTGTAATTCCAGTCTCTCTTCACATCTTGGTAGCTTTTTTTCCAGTTTGAGATCAATGGGGCAATGGGCAGGGTCTTCCTTATGCCCAGCAGCATGCCGGCACAACCAACAGCGGACTGCTCTTTCACGACACTCCTGTCCAGCGTTTGGCCAAAGCAGGACAGAGAAACCCCAATGAAATGATCGTCGAGGGGCGATCTGGCATTACTGGCTTGGTACTTGATTCTATACACATCACCCCATCAATTTCCGCACCAGCTACGCCTCGGACTTCGCAGCCAAGCTAGGCCCCAAACCTTGGTTGTCAACACCTGGTTATTCTAGGAGGACCAAGAGTGTTATGTAATATATGGTAAAGTAATGCGACTTATTCCCAAGAAACTAAGAGACTCTAACACGATATATCAGGATCGATTGGGGAGCTGAGCACTTTCGAATTGCCCCATGATGTGACTTTCGAGCCTGCTTCTCGTGTGATCTAGCGAGGCGTCCGCTTGGAGCAGTCTAGAGAGGTGGTTCCTGGCAAAGTTGTCCTGGAGTTACGGTTTCCGTCTCTTCTTGGGTCATGTCACGAAAAGAATGCTCATCATATCGTCAGTGGCTGGGCCCTTAGCCATCTGATCCTGCCAACTCACCCGGTGCTTGACCGTCAAGTGGCAAGGCTGTCAAATCTTGACAAATGTTATCAGCAACCCTGCCGCGGTTCTAGTCTCGAGTTCGCCAGAGGCGCATACATTCCATCAAACTCCCAACAAGGTTGGATCGCGCGGCTGGAGCTTTTGCTCGCTCGGTTTGCTTTGCCAATCCCTCACCATATGCTTCCATATTTCGTCTCCCTAACCAAGCCTTGGGCCCTTCTCACGACAGACTTTGTTGATAAGGCGGAAAATGAGGGAAAACTGAGGATAAGGAGCAGCTTCATCCCATATCATCAGGCCTCCGGGACACGGTTGTCAGATTATCAATGACCAAGTGGTCGGGGAGATTCAGAAAGCCCCGAGCCTGGACGAACGGGGTTCAACATCAACCACATGACTGTTGCCTAGGGCCCCTGTTCGCAAGAGGGAGTCTCCTCGTTCTATGATATCCATCTGAAGTTCATCGGCACCGCCCGGCATCGCCGCAAAACATCGCCCCGTTGGTGTCATGTGGTTTTGTTTGCCGTACACTTCACTCAGTTCTAGGCGTCATTCTGTTAGATTGACAGGTGGGATAGCCGGCTGGCTGGCTGTTGGAGGCATGTGAAATACTTTGAACTTCCAGTCATGCACCGCTTTTTGGGCGTTTCCCTCCTTTGCTCCGGTTCTCGTCCTTGCACGAGGACGATCTTTGGCTACCTGCGTTCGTGCCTGAGTCAAGCATTTAAACCTTGCCGGATTATCGTTTCTTGAAAAAACACTGATCCAACGAAACGTTTGCAGCAAAAGTCATGCCTTCTAACTTTGCGCAGCCGAGATTTGACATTCGAACAACTCATAACCTTTCGAAGATAAGGTGTACATGTGATCATTTCTACTGACCTGAGCAACAATCCCTCGATATCTCGAAACAACACTCTCTGTGCAATCTGGACTCATACCGATCATTCGACCGCACTCGCTATCTCCAACAAGTCTAGAAAAAAACTTGCTCAGCGTTGCTCGTCAGCTCTTACCAAGCCAAACCCAAGCACGCTTGGCTCGAGACCTGGTGCTCATACTGGCTTACACCAAACAAAGTAACTCGTCTACAAATACTGGCCCTGGCCCCGGGTTTACCAGCCAGTCGGGAATTATCAACCAATAATTCATCGAGACCTTGTGAGTAGTATATTTAAAGAATCCCTTGCCACGAATAGTTTCTCCAGACAATATCGGATTCATTTCGGTGGGATCATTGCACAGAGCAGAGCAGGGAACATTCAACCTCACCAAGCCTTCTTCACTCGCCACCTTCCGCTCTTGCACCTGGCACCCCCACGTGCCGGCGTGACGTGACATCTGTCTTCGGCCTTTACTGAAAGGCACCAGGAGAAGAGTACAAGGCGTAAGAGAAAGGAGAAGGCCGAATCATATACAGCCATGATAGAATCTGGTGGCTGCTCATCCGGATGAACAAAAAGAGACTAACTTTAGAAGACTCACAGAAAAACACAGGCAGCGGTGCTGAATAAAGACGGCGCCACCCTCAACACAGGTGACCCAGCATAGGCCATCAGGGACAACAGACGGTGTGCGGACAGGAGGACAGAGGACAGACGACACAAGCTCGTGCCATCGTCACAGTTGAACAGCACACACACGCATTCCACAGACAGACACGCAGCTTGAGCATTATCAAGGTTAGTCTGCCGACCTATCACCTACTGCTACTGCTGTCTATTTACCTACTCGTAAGGGCAATACGAACAACCGGACACCAGCCAGCCTCCTGCCAGCCCATTAAAATAGCGGAGGGAATCACTGGCCGGAAGCAAACAAACTAGGCACTCCCACTTCCACCAGCGTAAGGAGTAGAAACCTAAGTAGGAACCCTACGTCCTACTCACCACATCAAACCTCTTGACTTCTACGCACCTCACAAGCGCCGTACAGCCACATTACCCTCTTACAAACGAAACAAGGGACACAAGGAAGAAGCGCGTGTACGTGGTGCGGCTAACTCACCTCTAATATTCTTTCCTTTCCTTCTTCCTTCCTGATCTCATTACCCTTCTTTCAACAACCTCTTTTCATTCCCCGCTCATCGTACTTTTCCTTCTTAACGTTATCCTGGCCCCTGTAACTTTTAGTTCATCACACACAGTCGCAGTCTCTCACTCACTACTAGCCACTTCCCTTACACCAACCAAAATTCCACCCGTCCCGCGTGTAACGGCGGAGCACGCAAGAGAGAAAATACGGATATCCGTGAAGTGACCTTTGACCAACAGTACCAACCAGAGAAATAATAATCCGGTCAAAAACACAGTCATCAACTTCACCAACAAGCGAGTAGGGAAAACCGAACGAACGGGGTAGGCGCACAACCAAGTAACGAACAAAAGGGGCAAAATATCCGCCACTTCACCCAGCCCTATCTTGTCCCATTACCCCATCGTTCGTGCTCACTAGTCACCTAGCCGTGCAAGTCGAACCGGACCGCTACCCCCTTTTATCACCACCTACCTGTTGGACAAGAAGAAATTTCCATATCGAACACCGACCGCCGCCGAGTGAATAACCCATAGCCCGACGAGTGAAGCATACATACAAACGAGCGCGCCTTCAATCGCTGGTATTTTGTCCCCTTCGAGGCCCCCCGTCGTTTTTCCCAACGAAGGTTGTGGTTGGTGGTATCATTACGGCCATCACTTCGCCCATCGACGCACGCACGCATCCCACATCAACGAAAAGCAACGGGTTAAAAGGGGTTGACTCAGCCCCCCTTCAAACACAAATTACTGGGGGCTCGTCAATTGCGATATATCCCGGTGGATGGGCCATAGCAGGCTGCAGACGTGAGCCACATATCTATTTCTCCAAGGGGTATTTAATTGAGGAAACTGTTCCCCTCTTTGGCTGAATAAGGAACAATATCCTAAACAAGGCAGGATCAAGTTTGGAGACATCGGATCCCGACACGAACTGCCATCGCCATCACGGTTGTCGTCGGCCATATCCACACTCAGTAGCAGAACACGGGGAAACCCAAGACACACACACATACACCTACAGCCAATATTAGCATCCCATTCTTTGACAAGGCAGGACAACACGTAACGGTTCTCCGTTTTGCACGACCATATCCATTCTTACCTTCCAACAGCCGAGCTGTATACGCTGTATACGTTTTACCTCCACGGGATATTATCAAGAGGGCGTAACAGTCGCGGTTGCGCACAAACATCGTTGGAGCTTGTGGCCGGACTTATCGTCCTTGACAAATCAAGCCAAATCTCGTATGCTACTACTTCCTTCTTCCTGAATTTTCCACTCCATAGCACCCAAGCCCTTTTTTGTTCGAGCCTTCAGTATCCACTGTACAAGGCCAGCCAGTATATTGCACGCTCTTGACCTCCGTGAAGAAACTAACAAGCAGAAACAAAGTAGTCCTTAGGTAGCCCCCGAACGCCCGTCGTGCATGTAGCGACCAGTAGGTGGTGGATGACGACAGCGAACCAAGGAACTCCCGATCATCGGGACCAAGAAGACGGAGGCGAAGGCCAGCCACGGCAAGGTGGAAAGAGTGGACCACTCGGTCCACGACCAGGCTCGGGAGTAAACAAGCGAACGACCAAAGCCTCTGCCAAGGGCGGACGAGCAAAGAAGTCCCTTTTGAGACGTTCCCTCGACCCCGACAACAACATGAATCCAAACATTCCGTTTGTCTCCACGCCGGCAGACACTCCATCGCCCTTTCCTGAACCGACGCCCCTGCAGAGCGATGCGGATGCCAAGTATGAAGGAGAGCGTGCACGCAACAACCAGTCGGCAAAACGCTCCCGTATTCGCAAGGCCCTTTACGTTGTCGAACTGGACAATGCCGTTACGGGATATGAATACAACTTCAAACTCTTTTACAAGATGTACAAGGAGGCCAAGCAGAAACTAATCGATCATGGTCTAGGAGGCGATCTTCCCCCTGACCCGCCCATCTGGGTCCGAAAGCCAATCCCTGTAGGTCAGGATGTCGACACACAAGAATACCGCAAGAAGCTCGAGACCGCGGTAGAGAGTGGCGAGCTCGTCCCGCTCGGACTCGATTTCGCTGAGTCGGTGGCCCTCCAGGTCGGCAAGACAACGGGATCAGCGCAACAGACAGAGGAAGCCAAGGCGTTACAGGACGCAAAGGAGAAGTACGAAAAGACAGTCAAACAGGAGGACAAGTACGCCGAGGAGTTGCAGGATATGGAGAAGAAAATGCAGGAACTGCAACACAAGCTTTGGGAGGTCCAACATAACCGACAATCACTGGGGAACGTGGTGAACCGCTATCAGGCACGACAAGCGGGCGACAACAATGCGGGCCCGTCTGCTCTCCAGGGCAATGGTACAAATCTACCCTACAGGCCGCCTGTGCCGGAGACTGCTCATCTTCCCCAGCGACTTCAGAAAATGGCCTCGCAAAGCCGGAAGGAACGTACGCTCGAGGAACTTGCAGCTTCATGGCCGGTGCGATCCTGTCTTGAGAATCCTCAGATGGTGATGGAGATGGACCAGAACCCAATTGAGGCCAAATTGGAGCAGCCTGAGGACGCCCGACTTGATGGTCTTCCTGTGCCAACATTCGACGGATACCACCATCAAAGTCAGCAACAGCAGGCCAACCCCAATCATCCCACAAATCCTAGTTTCGCTCAGTGGTGCCAGGCCCAGGGAGAACCTAGCTTTCTTGATTATTCCAATGCTTCTGGAAATCCGGATGCGGTTTCGGCTGGCAACTTCAATGAGTATCCCTGGCCAGGCGAGGGTGTCGACTTCACTGGAGGAGAGTCACACTTTATGAGTAGTGACGATCATCTGCCAGGGACGGGCCACGATGCGGCACTCCCAAGCACATCTCAACCACTCTCGCCGAGTATTTGCTTTGCCGATCTTCACCTGAGTCCAGAAATGGGTAATATGTTTATGGAGACGGGCGAGCAAAGTTCCGGCGATCCGAACCAAGGAAACTATCACGGATCATATGGTCAGCAGACGGATCAGTTCAACCAGTTCTACTGATAAGCCTGGAGAGGGTCGTTCATTTGGGAGGAATTTGGTTTCGGTTTTTCGCTCTCATCGATTGCATTTACACACAACAGGATACCACTTCACAGCGAGGCGTTTCTTTTTTTTTGGCAAGTAGATGGGAAAGAGAAGTTGTTTTTGGCTGCGGGGGCTTTTAATTTCCGCACCTAGATGGATACAAGGAAGATGGCGGGCCTCGACGGGACAAGGGGGGTGGATGTATGGAAAAAGACCATTGGACGTACCTCCATGATTAGGCGTGCACAAGTACCCGTGCCTCGCCCCTGCGTGCGCCTTGGGTAAGGGACGAGCGGATGGGTCATGAACATGGACGGGCATTGAATTTGTCGTCATGGTACACAGCAACGTCGTACAGCATATCTGCAGTGTTAGATTGCAATATCGCTCCATCAATCCTCCTGGTCTGCCGGAAAGGGATAGGAAAATGACAAGACATGGTAGTCACACACATGGGTAGCTCTTCCATTCTGCTTTCACGTGTCGCACATGTTCAACGTCCTCCCTCTCTTGTGTGATTGAGGAAGCCCTCACCAGTAGATTCTGAAGATTGATTAACTTGGCATCCGAAGAGGTGCCGACGTTGAAGAGACAATATAGCGGTTTTGTGGCCGATGCTTGTTGTGTCTGCTAGTCTAATGTGATCGAAACCTTGGGGTATGTATGTTGAGGTGGCAACAAAGTGCCGGAAAGTATTGATCAACATATTATGACATGGAGGACGTAGCTTGTCTGTTATATAGCAGTCTCTCAACACATGGCTGAAGATATGCGCTGGAGGGAGCTGCTTTGCGCACGCCAACAGGTTAGTGACCTCCAGAGGATTCGGCCATAGAGGGGCAGCAGAGATGAACTCCATAGTACCTAGTTCGTGTGCTGAGATATGAAGAGATCGCGGATCTGTCGGAAGGTGGGACAAGGCTATTGTGTCGTGTCCAGGAGGTGAAGTATCGCGAATCTGTTGTGCACTGGAGAGTATTGAAGTTATAGGGGGAAAACGAGACACGCAGCGAGATCATGATGCAGGTACAGCCTCAAGTTGGCGAATGACGGCGGGACGTCTTGAGTGTATCTGTGGGTGATTGGAAGGTACTTAGGAGGGAAGCCGTGGTCAATGGTGCCTTCTAGTCTTCGGTTCTTGTTCGCTGGCGCATCATTACAGAAAGCAATTTGTATCGCACCTACCTTCAAAATAATCGTGTGTTTTATCCTCCCATCCCGGAAGGAACTTGATTCCCACCACTCGTCGATTTGAAAACCAACTCGCTTCGTGACTTGCATCAAAAATGAAGCTTTGCTAACATGGAACATTTCTTTCATTCTAGACGGCTCTTGAAACCACGACGCTTCAGGAATTTTACGTCGTCATTTCCGAATTTCCAGGATGGATTGTGTCTGTCGTGATATCAAAGTAGCCATCACTCATGTATCATTTCCTAGATACTAAGTGTCACCCTTTGTGTGACACAGAGTGACACTACAAGATCGTCCAACATCGCGCGCCTGCTTCCGATGACTATGGTATCTCCCAAAAAGAAATAGAAACTGACAATAGAAAGAGTGAACGTTCTTGGTGATTCCTCTTTCACCAAACTCCGATCGAACCGCTTTCTTCCAAGGCACCCCGATTAACGCCCCAGTCGCCACAGCGAGCGAATAGCCATCAAGTCATCCCCTGTGAGAACAACGTAGTATCCGGTGACAACTCCAAGTCCCATAAGCTAGTATCCTATACAAGTGTTCTAAGTCGTCCGTTTCGTCCGTCTATTATGTCGCATAGGGCTGCTGCGAATATGCCGGTTGCGGAGGAAGCTCATTAGCAGTGGCGGGCGCAACGGAGGCGGTTGGCTGTACTTGTCCAAGTTCGGCCTGGCTGAGCTTTGGCGTCGTAGCTTCGCGAACGCAAGCGAGGATGAAGAAGACAAGATCGATGATTGACAGGACCCTGTGACAATACCGTTAGCCCTACCAAAAAGGGAAAGCTTTTTGGACATGAGAAAAGCTTACCAGGCAACGGCACCTAGACCAGCGCACACAGCCATAGCCGAGCCATAGTCATGAATTGCACCATAGTAGTAGCCAGACCAGTCAAGCGCGACAGCTGCCTCGCTAGCCGCATATGCCCAGCCCACAAGCCAGAAGATCACTGCGAGACTGTAAAGAATAAGACCGACGATGCGATAGAAGAGATGTGGCGCTCCAAACTGGAACCCGAGGGAGCCGCCGTAAACAACAAGACTCCAAATAGTCTGAAGGAACTGGCATTAGCTCTTGCGCTGACTCCTGATTACAAAAGAGTCACATACCACAAAGATCATCATCCCACTAGCGCCCGTATATCCATAAGCCGCAGACCCTCCTCCGGCAAACATCGAGACAGCCCACGCCGCAACCCCCAGAAGAACAAGTGACAGCACGAGGATGGCGATCCGAATGTAGAGAATCCATGATGGAAATGGAGGGACTCCAACAGCGGTGAGTCCACGAGCCGACGCCATCTTGTATTTCGCGCCTCTTGGGGCTATTTGATATCGATATCGATCGATGGCTAGGTCCAAGTTATTCAAATTTCGGTGGTTGAATTCGGACACTGGTTCGCGTATCACAACAAAATTCGGGTTGTTGGTTGAAGACAGAGAAACAGAGCTGTAATATCACCTCTTATTCAAACAAAGAGCAAGCTGCACGGCAACCTACCGTCCAGCCCTTCTTATTCTAATCTTTCTCTTCACACCTTCAGCCCGCAGCATTGTAATCTCCTCATCGTCAAGCCACTCATAGCGCCAATTGGTTGCCTCCCCTCCCGCCTTTCGATTTCGGGCACACACCGGAGTGTAACGTGAGGGATGACTCTACCCTTCTTCACCCCCTGCTGTCCGGTTATGGCTAGATGATGGTTGCGAAAGGGGGGCTATGAAGAGTGACGGCAGTACAAAGCCTGTAATGCCATACTGGCGAGCGCTCTGCGTGGTAGACGTGGGTGGTTTGAGTAATACGACCAGGAGAAAAAAAAGCTGCGATTCGTGGAGGAGAGCGCCAAGTCGTTTGAAACTTCCGGTCTCGCTTGGGAGCTGAAAGAGGTCCCCTGTTACACAACGCCGATAGTTTTTCCCTGCAGCACCTCTTTCGGTTTCCGGATAGGATCTTCTTTGTGAATGATCTTGTGAGTATCTTCTTCTCCTCTGTGATGGAGCAGCCCGCATTAGCTTGAGATGATGGAAGATCAAAAGTGACTTGGGCACCGACAAATTGCCAACGTGACTTCCAGATTGCCGGATTCTGTGGTATATATTCTTGTAACATTCATCCCAAGCCGGGACGGTCGAGATGAACTAAGGACAGAGTCAGAAACCATCGCTGGAAGCGTTAAAAGAATTGGCACACGGGGTCCTCATCCCCTCGAAGTGTGTGAGTGTGTGAGTGATGTGGTATCCCCGCAGTTGGGCAGTTGTGTTCTTTGGAGCACCCACACGCATCTTTGGCGTTTTCACATACCGCTGATTGGGCGGCTGGCATTGAAAGGGAATAAAAATAGCATCGTCAAACGGCCTGCCATGAATATCCCAATCACACAACATGGGGAGTGTTGCAAAGGTGCAACTTAAGCGAAGTGTGCGGCTGAGACTAGCGGCGACATGGAGACAGCAACGTGACTGATGACGTGCAGTAGTAGCTCTGGGTTGAGCTGGCATTTAGTTAGTTTTTGGCAACTTCTTGTTAGTAACTTTCCATTGTTTCTTGACCAGTAGTAACACCGTTTAAGCTGCGTTAACAATAAACGGGATCCGCGATAAGACGGGCGAATTTAGCACCGGCAGATAAGATACTCGACCCCTCTCATCTTCTTCGTCCGAATATTTGCATACATTGGAGCAGGAACCCAACATCAGGTTCGGCTCGTAGGGAGCTCACCAGTATTCAGTTCATGAGCTGTCAGGGACAGATAAGCCATGCTTTCGACGCTCCACGTGGGGAGAAAACGCTCTTTCGTAGACTCCAACAAACAAAGGGGCAATTCAAAGGCTCATCAAGCGCATTTATATTCATCTCCATTGAATTTCCGTCGTGTTGTCTTGAATAGTGTACCTTCTTTTCAAGGTTTGCGAATGCCTTCGTCGTCGAACGCGAATTTAAATGATGCAGCGTGATCCCTCACCTCCAACCCTAACCCGGTACGATGATGAGCGGGCATCTTCCCCGCAAAAATGTTGGCGATGACTTCATCACAACCAGATAAAGTGGGGCCAAAAGCCGTAGAGGTTCCCGTCACTTTTTACAAGCAATACACCAGGTCACGAAAGTGTCTCTCTTTGAGCTTCTGAATTCAGTCATTAATCAAATCATCAAAATCAAGAGACATCTGTGCCCATCGAACTATTCTCGGCGCATACTTTAGCAGTATTATCCAACCTCTGCGCCTGTTCGCGACGGTTACAGTAACACGCAACGAAAGCATCCCCTAATCTATGTAGTACAGTCACGATAATAGATCGCAACCACAAACATTCCTCACCCAACACTGAGACGAAGCCAACCGCAACTATGTCCGGTCCTGGTCGAAGCACCACTCCTGGTCGGGTGACCTCTTCTCTCCCCATCAGCTCCGTAATCTTCTACGGCCTGGGCGCCGGTCTCGTTGGCGTCACCATGTACGCACTTACACTCTCTTCCCGCCTCAGCTTCCGTCAACATCTACCAAAGACACGTCTCCCCCACCAACTCAAACTAACCATTTCCCAAATCCAGGATGACCCTGGCCGAAAAGTCCGAACAACTCTTGACCTCTCGTCCCAACTCATACGTGCCCGCGCGCACCCTCGAGCGGCTCATCTCCGTGCGTGCCTCGACCGACACGCAGCTCTGGGGACTCAACATGGCGATGCACTACGGACAGGGAGCAGCGGCGGGCGTGATTCGGGCGCTGATGAGCTGGAACGGGATCCGGGGCCCGTTTGCCGACCTGATCTTTGTCGGGGTCCGCTTACTGATTGACCAGACGCTGGAGAACTGGACGGGTGTGGGCGCGCCGCCATGGACGTGGCCAGTCGACGAGCAAATACTTGATATTCTGCACAAGACGGTGTTTGCGGTGACGACCGGGTGGGCGGTTGATCGGTGGTTGGTTACATGAGGAGGGGGTTGGAGGTGAAAAGAGGTATGTTCTCAATGAAGTGGGATACGGGAGTTTGGTATGGTTTTGATCATTGATGAATGAATGCGGAATTCAAGAAGAATCATAATAACAGCTCATTGTACTAATGGCAATACCTGACTAGAACGTGAGTATGAACACGAAAACGAACAACAGAAAGATGATTCAAACCAAAAAGCAAGAGGCACCCGAGTCAAGCTAGGAATTGGCATGATGGAATATGTAAAACGAAAAAAGAAATAACATATGCCCAGAAGGCGGAAAAGGGAAAATTGCCAAAAAGATAACTTTTGCTCCCTCGGTAAGGATCGAACTTACAGCCTCCAGATTAACAGTCTGACGCGCTAGCCAATTGCGCCACGAGGGATCAATTGTTGAGGAGGAAACTCATTCAGGTCATTACATAGTCAGCGTTCACAGTTGCGTACGGGGTACTTATGTACACTTCGGCCGCGCATGGCAGTCTTCAGTTCACAAACACACGGTAGCAAACGACATAAACACCACCTAACTCAAAGAGAGGGTCTAACCAGGAAGGGATATCTATTGTATTGCTCATTCAAGCTCATAGACTTCATTTAATCATGATTCATGCCATACCTATATCCAAAAAAAAATATATGCTATCCCCATGGTATCCAATGTATGGAAAAGTTAAGAAGACTCCGAGAAAAAAAAAATCGATACCCCAGTCTATTTCCTCTCATGCACCAACCTCCCCTTGACCCAAACTTTCTTCGTGTTCCTATCGTCGCCGTTAAACAACCACTTGGCCACTTTATTCGGCCAACTTTCCCACCCAAACACATCTACATTCCCTTCCTCCTCCTTTTCCTCACCTTCATATTCTTCATCCACCACATCCCTCCCCAGCCCAATCAACTGCGCATCCCACTCCATGCCCACCTCAAACCCGCCCACCTTTCCTTTCATCCCTACTAGTTCCGCTCCTCCTTTTGTAGCCAGATACAGCACCTCTTCCACCGTCAGCTTGGCCCTCTCCCTATCTATCCCGTCCTTATTCGCCTTGTTAGCCTTGCTCTCCTTCTCCGCATTGCCGTCTTTATTCGTCTTGCCCTCCGTCTCTGCCTCACTCTCCTTCTCCCCCCTTATTCTCCTTCTCCGCCGGCGCACATCCCATAGCCACATGCCGGCTCACCAGCGCCGCCTGCCTCGCCATCTCCAACACTGATGGGCTATACCCGCCGCTCATATCCGTACCCAAACCGACCTCAATGCCGCGCTCCAGTAGCCACCTCACCCGCGCTGCGCCGCTCGTAAGAGCGCTGTTGCTGCACGGGCAGTGACTGACCTTGCTTCCCCTTGCCTTGATGATCTGCACCTCCTCTTCTGATAGGTGCACGCCGTGCGCCAGGATGGTCTTGTCCGTCAGCAGGCCAAAGGTGTCGTACACGTGCGTGTAGGTGTCCCCTTTCGCTCCGATCTTCTTGGCAGGGAACATTTCCTTCACCAGCGCAATCTCGCCTTCGTTCTCCGAGATGTGCGTTTGAACGGGGAGGCCCGTTTCGGCCGCTAGCTTGCCTAGTTCGGCCATCAGGGGCGCCGAGCACGAAGGCGCGAAGCGCGGGGTGATCACGGGGCGGACGATGGCGCCGGTCGGATCGATGGACTGGATGTAGGTGATCGATTCGCGGGTGGCGGCCACAGAGTCAGCGGCCGAGGCGTCGCGGTAGTACTTCGGGGACAGCTGATCCATGCACACACGGCCGACGAGGGCGCGCTGACCGGCGCGCAGACACAGGTCGGCGAGCAAGTTGGTGGTAGTGACGTCTTTGGTGGCGTAGTAGGCGGCGCACGTGGTGCCATGGCTCAGGGTCTTGCGGATAACGCGGTTGTAAACGGTCCGGGCCTTGGCCGGATCCGAGAGCGAAGCCTCGAGTGGAAATGTGTAGGTCTCGAGCCAGTCGAGGAGAGTGGACTTGCCGAAGATACCAACATTGGGGTACTGCGGGGCGTGCAGGTGAGTGTCGATGAAGCCGGGGAAGAAGAATTGGTTATGGGAAGCTAGGGAGGAGTGTATGGAAACGCTGTCCGGAGCCCAGCCTAGGCGTGGGAAAAAAGTGCTGGCGGCCTGAGAGAGATCATAGTCTGGCTCGATGGCAACAATGGTGCCATTCTGGTCAACAGCAACGGCCGTGTTGTGGAGATATTCGAGGTCGGTCAGGGTCTTGGGGTAAATAAAGGTGCCGTAGAAGAGTTGATTCTGAGTGGCCAGGGTTGTTTGTTCTTGAGAACCCATGATGTCTGCGTTGTATGTAGTATAAGAGGACCGATGTCTCTTAAACTCCCCCAAAATATGTAGGTAGGTACCTTGCTGGAAAGTGAAGGATACAGATAAGGCACCTTGCGCTCAGACCCTCAATATGCTTGTTCGAGCCGTCCCGGTTCGGCTTTTCTGATGGAAGACTTGGTCGAAGCAATTGCCAATGATGCCCTGATTATGCGCGGCTGACAAGAAGACGCCGGATTCTCGGTTTTGCACACGATGGGTCTGGCTCAAGTGAAGGCTGTAACGGTCTGACGATTAAGCAGATGCAAGTCGAACTCTGACAGGTGCGAGCTGCTGTGTGCGCTTTCATACAACGTGTCCTCTTTATTGCTTACATATAGCGATGAGAAATGGCATCAAACCCCCCAGTAACCAGGAAGGAAAGAACAAAAGTTCGGGGAGAAGATGGTTTTTATAGGTCTGTCTTAGTCATCGGGAAACAACAGGCTGGTTGGTGGTGATAAGAGCGTCAAATGGCTATTACCCCTACCGAGCCATATCACCAATCAACATCGATTAAAGCCGAAACATTTACCATGCCGATTCTCTCTAGGAACCTCAACGTGTTCCTCATTGCTTCTTTACATACCCGCCTACCGCCGATACGCGATAGGTTATCGAGTATATCGGTGGATCCGGTCCCTTGATTTCTGTCTTTAAAGTGCGGTCAGCGCCGGCTGCCGATCCGAGCCTACCAACGGGTACTGGTGAGTCCAACCACTCGGAGATCATCGGATTTTGGCACTCATCCCCTGGACTTTCTGATCAGCATCACTTGCCCGATTGCGACCTGATTGATCAATCTGATTGGCCAATCTGAACATGTCAAGGCGTCCTGCCATGACGTCTTGATAAGCCCAAGATAACACCAAACAGCGAGTGCCAAAATCGCGGCTTGGTAGCAGCGTTTGAGGTCAAATGGTCACAGTCTCTCCTAATCTTGTTCTTGTGAACGGCGTTGTCTTTGTCACCTCATCTATTTTCCCACTCCTTCAGACTTTCGATACCATTTAGCTAAATCAGCCATCTAAAATATACGCCCGGCCGCCGACAAATGCTGGCAAAATATAACATATTTTATAACTCCTGTAATCCACCACTTCTTGCCTTCCGTCCAAATAACCGCCAAGTTCATGGATGCTGAATAGTGATATGCGGCGGATCAAAGCCACTGAAACCAAAGGATATGTAAGCATCTAAACCAGTTCCCATTGCTCATCGCTCTCGTTTCTTCTCTTCTTCTAGAAGTGAGCCGTAGCAATGGCAACAGCATGGCTGTCAGAATAGGACAGCGTCACGTTGACCTTGGAAACGCCAGCCTTGTTCGCGGCCTCCAAAGCAGCACCATGCAACTATGAACATGTTAGCAGTTGATTTCAGTGACTAACAAAACGAAACAAGAGACACGTACCTTCACAACGGGACCCCCGTTGCTATCCGAGAGAATTTCAATGTCCTTCAGGGATGCACCAGCACCCTGGCCGGTGACACCAAGGGACTTAAAGACGGCCTCCTTCGCGCTCCAGCGACCAGCAAACGACTTCTGCGGCGACCGACCAGTGCTAGGGGCCTTGCAGTACTGGAGCTCAGCCTCGGTGAAGTTGCGTTCCAAGAAGGTTTCATTGTCGATGTTGATGGAGGAAATTTCCTCGAGATCGAAGCCAACACGGGTGTTGCTGTTCTTGAGACGGTTTGCAGCACGGGCAACAGTCGACTCAAGAGATTCCTCGCTCTTCTTCTGCAGCTTCTTTGCTGGCTCCAACTCCATGAAGTTGGCGGGATACGTGAGCTGGCCGGTCTTCTTGTCCTCGGTAACGCGGGCCTTGGGGTTAAGGAGAACCGATTGAAGCTGGTCATCAGAGTAGGGAGATTTATCCTTGGCAACGAACAGGGTGTTGTTGATAAGGCCGTTGTGGAAGAAGCGGTAGGTCTTCTTCTGGCGAGCCTCCACCTTGGTGCGGTAAGCGTTGAATACCTCCTCATCAAGAGTGGCATAAAGATACTTGGGATGGACACCAATGGCCTGAGCACCCTTCTGGCCGAAACCGAACGACGTAACGGAGAAGGCCTTGACACCATCAGTCTGGATACTCTTGCTAGGGTAAACAATGTAGTCAAACTCCTCCATGACAGCGTCGACGTTGTCGGCATTGCGGTTGCCGGGGACGAGGCCACTGTTGAGCACTTGCAAGCAGCCGTTCATCATCCAGGCACCAGCAGCACCCTTGGGATGACCAGTGAGATACTTCTGGAAAATGCCGAGCACGGCATTGCCCTTCTTGCGGCCAAGATGACGGAGCTGCTGGCAGATGACAGACGACTCATTCTTGTCGTTGGCCTTGGTGGAAGTACCGTGGAAAGAGGCGACGTCAAGATCGTCAATAGTGAGGCCCCAAGTAGCGAGGGCACCACGAAGGGGAGCAATCGTAGCATCGCCCTTCCAGAAGTTGTTGCCGTAGCTGCGGAGAACTTCCTTGACCTGTCTTTCGGCCTCCTCTTCAATGTGTTGAGTTCTATGGCGGGCATAGTCGTCAATCTCCTTCTGCGGCCTGCCTTCGGCCTTGAGGGCCTCGATCTCATCGGCGAGATACTCAAGCTCTTCCTCCTTCTCGTTCTCAAGCTGCTTCTTCCGGCGCTCAATCTGGCGACGTCTGTACTTGATATCGAGCAGGGGCGAGGGGAGGCTACCCTGGCGCTCGCGAGCAGTAGTAAGAACACCCTTGCCGGGCGCAGGGACGGAGCGACCAATCTTGTCGGAAGCGGTGGTGGTCAAAGCAAGGACACCATAGATGGGGACGCCCATGTCCAAAGCAAGCTTGGCAGTCATGATGACCTGAACACCGCTACCCTGCGACTCCATGAAGCCATTTCTCGTGGTAGTAGTTGGCCTGGACATCTCCTTGGGCGTGCGACCATGGGCAAACTCATCAACAGCGTTGCTGGTAGCCTTCATGTTGGCGAACTCATACGAGCCCTCCTCGCCAAAGTCATCGAAGCCACCAACGAAGCACACGCGGGCCTTGCCCTCCATAATGGTCTCGTAGCCAATGTCGATAGACTCGACAGCGGTGGCGCAAGCACCGACCGGCGTCTTGATGGGTCCAGAAGACGAGATCAAGAGCATGTTTACCCACGCGGCCATGGTGTTGATGAAGGACTCTTGAAGAATATCGTTCTGAACAGGCTTATCAAGGTATCTGTCGCGGTGCATGTTACGGAGTGCAGTTGCACCACCCATACCAGAACCGACGCAGTTACCCACTTCGGAGACATGGACGTACTTGTAGAACTCATACGGGTCGGTAATACCAGACGAGAGAAGAGCCTCCACAGTAGACACAAGGACGAAGAGAGCGACGGGATCAACCTGAGAAATGATGTCGTCGGGGATACCGTAACGCTTGGCGTCCCAGCCAGTAGGGATCTGGCCAGCAACCAGACGATCGAAGCGCAGAGCCTTGGGGATCCAGAGCGAGGCACCCTTCTTCAGACGGACAGTGTACTGACCAGTTTCGGGAATCTCAAAGATGTCGACCTTATCGCCATGCTCTCTCTTAAACTCCTCAGCGGTGTCCTTGGTGGCCTCGAAAGGATCGAGATCCTCCTCAATGACAACCTCATGGAGAAGCTGCTTCTTGTTGGGATCGTAACCGTCGAATAGCTCGGGCTCGATCAGACGGATACCAGCGTGTTCGAGGATGTACTTCTCGTACTTGGGCTTGATGTCCTTGTCGTCAACGGGCTCGCCAGTCTTGGCATCAACCCAGCCAGAGTAAGGCTTGCCCTTGATAGGACCGTTATGGTTCTTGATGAGACCCATGATCCAGGCCATCTCAATGCAGCCCTCAAGCGAGAACTCACCATAGGCCTCCATCTCCCAGCGGGTTCTGGAGTTACCCCAGGGGCCAACCTCAGCGAAACCAGTGACAACAACGACCTTCTCCAGATCAACCATACCCTTAAGAGTGTCGTTAAGAGGAGCGACCTCGGACTTCCAGTCAGGCAAGGTCGGGAAGTCAAACTTGATGTTGGCACGGGGCTCGATGACCTTCTTCTTGTACAGAGCCTCGGAGTCCTCGCCATTGACGATCTTGTTCTCAATAGCAGTCTCCTTGGTGACGGCCTTGCGAATATCGCTGGTCTCCATAAGGTTCTTGCGCTGACTAGTCATGGTCTCGTTCAAGTTGGTGATGAACTGAAGACCGCCGTTCAGATCAGCGAAGACAGGCTCGTTCTGGCACAAGTCGACAATAGTAGGCGACATGAGGCCAAGCAAGTTGAAGGCCATCTCCTGTTGGGAGAAGGTGCGGACACCAAAGTTCTCAACACCCTCAGCAACCAGGTTGTTGCCAGACATGAGGCCGGTACCACGAGTCCAACCAATGATGGCACCGCAGATAGTGAGGTAGTTGGCCCAGTCCTCAGCATGCCACCTGTTGAAGAGAGTCTCGAGGCCGAGCTTGGACTCGGAGTAGAGACCATCGCTACCAAAGGTACCGTGGTTGGGAGAGAGCGGGAGGATGACCTGGGCGGGACGAGTTTCGAAACCGCGGTTGGCCTTCTGAGCCTTGACGTTGCCAAGGAGGCGGATGAGGTTGGTCAACATGATGCGGTGAGCCAACTCGGACTTGGAGTCAATGCCATCAATCTGGCGACCCTGCTCAGAGATGGCGGCGAAGGGAACAATGTAGTCAAGATCCCAACCGAGACCAGCCTTGGTGTCGTAGATGTAGTCGACCAAGGCGTTGATGTCCTGCACGCTACCCTGGTTAAAGGGAACCACAACGAGCTGAGAGCCACGAGAGCCAAATCTGGCATACATAGACTGGTAGTACTCGGTAACTTCACGCGAGAAACGGCTGGTGGTGACGATGACCTTGGCACCACCGCTGATAAGACCCTGGAGAACCTCGGCACCGATGGAACCGGCGCCCGCACCAGTCATGAGCACGTACTTGTTGGCGAAGGTA